AATTTTTAATTTGTTTAAAGTGGAGAGAGGGCAGACATTTGCACTTGAACCATTGTCAACCAAGCCTATTCCGGGCGATTGGAACGGTGCAGGTGCTCACACAAACTACAGCACCAAGTCGATGAGGGAAGATGGAGGCTATGAAGTCATTTTGAAGGCTATTGAGAAGCTTGGCCTGAAGCACAAAGAGCACATTGCTGCATATGGTGAAGGCAATGAGCGTCGTCTCACTGGAAAGCACGAAACAGCCAACATCAGCACCTTCAAATGGGTATATAAACATTTTATCTTTCTCATCATTTCTCATTTTGGCTGCTTTTTTCTTTGGTGCTGGAGGTTCAACTATGATTATAGTTAGGAAGTTGAGATTGACTTTGAACTTTCTCTGTTGTTTAAACAATTCGAATGGGGTCTTTCTTGTTGATAGTTTTTTTTTAGTCTCCAAGTCTAATTAAACACCACCACCAACAACAAACACACATAGTGTAATCCCACTAGTGGGGTTTGGGGAAGGTAGTATGTACGCAGACCTGGTTGTTTCCGGAAGTCCAATTAAACACCGTTATATAAAATGAAACCCGTACTGCCATGATTTATAACACCTTCATATGGCATGTGCAGGGGGTTGCCAACCGCGGTGCATCTGTCCGTGTAGGAAGGGACACAGAGAAGGCTGGCAAGGGATATTTTGAGGACAGAAGGCCGGCTTCAAATATGGATCCATACGTCGTTACTGCCATGATCGCGGACACTACCATCATCTGCAAACCTTGAAGCTTTTTAGTATGAATTGCTTGTTTCTGGTTTTGCTCAATTTGGGATAGAAAAGGATTGATTTATGAAACAGCCCTTNTATCAGCACCTTCAAATGGGGGGTTGCCAACCGCGGTGCATCTGTCCGTGTAGGAAGGGACACAGAGAAAGCGGGCAAGGGATATTTCGAGGACAGAAGGCCGGCTTCAAATATGGATCCATACGTCGTTACTACCATGATTCATCCCAACACTACTATCACCCTTCAGAGCACCATTGACCCATTAACCCAATACCCTTTCTTCATTTTGTCAAAACACAAAACAAAAGACAAAG